CCCCCCCAAAAAAAACCACACTCAGCCCTCTCCCCTTCACCGATTGGCTACAGTAGTTATTGTAGCCAATCAGCATTGAGTGTAGGGGGTAGGAACCATCAGTTTCTTGAACCGGGGTGCTTTGATTTTCCAACCCGCAAGTGTGAAACTTCATTGAGATATACACACAATCTGACACACACATAATGTCTATGTATATGCTATGGAACACTCATAATGCGTGAGCTTCTACATCAAATTGCTCAAGTCAATTTTTCTCTCCATGTTTATAGCTTAAGATTTCTTTGAGGTTAAAGAGCATTCGAGAGTCTATGAAGGAGGCTATTGCCCAGTTATACACAATGCCACATGAAGTTTAAAGATTAATTTGTTTAGTTTTCTATTCCATTTGTGATTAAATTGAGTTGAGTGATTTCTTTTAGTCTCAATAGCCTATCCAATATTTTTCTATTTTTTCTTGTTTAGATATGTTTTAATTCTAACAGTCCGTTTAGTGTTTTAATGATCCTCAAGTAATTCATGTTCAATTGTAGTGTTACTATCCATGTTTTATATAAACATGTTGATGTGGAGGCATATTGTTAAATCCGATAGTTGTTATTTTATTGGTGACTAATTGACTAACTGTGATGATATCATGTAACAACACCCAATTGTTCCACCAAATTGTTTCTTTTTTTGTGTTGTATGGTGGACATGTAATATCTCTTCTTATGAGCCTTCTGTTTATAGGGTTGCAAGAAATAAAATGAATTTACAAGCCCATATACCGGGGAAGATCTCGGGGCAGGTGCCAAATCCGGGGGGTAATTCCTTCACTGGTATGTCCCAACAAAATGGAAATCCAATGTCCAATCAGATGCAAAACCCATCTGTACATCGTAACATGGCCAATATGGATACAGAGACACTCAAAGCCCAAAGGGAGTTCATTTTAAATAAAATGTAAGAAATCCTATTGCCATATTCACATTATCTAAGTAGCTTTACACATATGTTGCTATTTCTTTTGTGTCCCTCAAGAAATGAACCTTCCTCTCACATCATCATTTTCAACACCTTAATCCCAGCTAGTTAGGGTTAGTGGCACTTAAGTTTCAAACTCTAGTTCCATTTATATGTATAAAATAAACCCAACAATTTCATGCAACACACATTTGTATAAAATAAACACAACAATTTCATGCAAAACACATAGTGGGTAGTGGCAATGTTTTACGCTGGATGCCCCTTAGGTTGAAAATTGTATGAGGCAACAGTATGATACTTTTCAAGATGTTATCATCACATATTCTGCAACTGTCTCTTTTTTTATAGGAGTATGGTTTCAGGAATATGGTATTTCTTTACATATATGACAATACACTTTGGTTCTTTTGACATTGGTATTCAATGTCATATTATTACATCAAGCTTTACGGTGCTCTGTCATATTATATGCATTGTGCCCTCACTCCTGCCCCTCTGTGTGCTTTGTCGCGGTAACGGGGGTAGGAAGCACTTTAGTGCCCCCAAATAGACCAATTCATATTATGACATTGATGGGCAATGTCAAAAGCCGAACCCATGACAATATGTGGTCAAACAGTAAGTTTATATTTCATTTGTGTGATTTTCATATATTTTGCAATGTAATTATGAAAGTAGGATTCAATATTTTATATAATGCTAGGGTTTATATGTTCATTGATAATGATTCTCTATTAAAAGCAAGAGTAAATGAACAAGGAAGTGTTCTTTTCTTATTTTGCCGGACTATACATAAATCAATGTACTAATATACTCAGGTAAAGTGCTCAGTTCTTTATTTAGTGTTGGAACAACAAAAAGACCCAGTATAATCCCAACTCCATTGCGGTTTGGAGGTCAAGATGCATGCATTCTTACGTCCTTACCCCTGCAAAAACAGAGAGGTTGTTTCCATTAGACATGTTGCATTTACTTCCCAAAGTTTCATAGAAAATAAGAAGCAATAAGTTTCACTCTCCATATTTATTTAGTCCATTATTTACTCAAAGCTAAAGCATTGTCAAAAATGTCTCCTTAAGCTAGGCGCGAGTAGTTGGGCAACAATTAGAAATGTAGCATGTCATTTGACCCAGACCAAAGCGTTTTATGTTAAAACATTAAAATAAAAAACCTAGTTGATGCGCAATGCTCACTCAAAAACCCTAACCTCTCCATTGTTGTTGATTGAGCCTGATTCAGACTCTAATTTTGTAAGTTTCCATTTTTTTCCTTTCGACTCCTGTTTTGTTTTTGTTGTTCATTTTCTATTTTTTCCCGTCTTGTTTTGTGCTAGCGGAGGGATGCATTTTT